TATGCAAACCGATTGTTGCAGCAGCTTTTGGAGAAAGCTTATGATAGAGAAATGAACATTCAATTCACGGGCAACAGCTCTGGTGGACATTCCTGCAGTCAGCATGCCAATTGCACGCTCCCTCAAAACTTGCGACATCTGTGGCATTGTGCTGTGTGATAAAACTGCACATTTTAGAGTGGCCTTTTATTGTGGCCATTCTAAGGCACACCTGTGCAATAATCATGCTGTCTAATCAGCATCTTGATATGCCACACCTGTGAGGTGGATGTGTTATCTCGGCAAAGGAGTGATAGTGCTCACAAACACAGATATAGACAGATTTGTGAACAATATTTGAGAGAAATATGCCTTTTGTGTACATAGAAAAGTCTTAGATCTTTGCATTCAGCTCATGAAAAATGGGGGTAAAAACAAAAGTGTTGCGTTTATAATTTTGTTCGGTGTATGTACATTTCAAAACATTCTAGTTTATTTAATAAAATGAGGATATGAAGTGAATTCACAACTGATTTAATATTTAAGGCCAAACTGAAAGAACTGGAAAGCTATGCTTTCGCTTTGGCTACCTTGGCCTTAAGTTTGAAATTTACTTTGAATTCTCACTAGTACATAAACCTGTTAAAGTTGTGCATCTACATATCACAAGTCAAATCTTGGGGAAAGAGTACCCTGCTGGATAAACCAATGAGCACAGACAGGCATCTTATTTCAGTCTCTTACCCTTATTTATGGAGCACGGTTAAATCATAGGCGTGCGCACGGGGTGTGCCGGGTGTGCCTGGGCACACCCTAATCCCGCGGCCCGCCTATGTATATTGAGACCGGCAGGGGAGATCTCAGGATCTCCCCTGTCGGCTCATGCAGAGCCGGCGCTATCCGAGCGCCGGCTCTGCTCTCAGCCTCCCTCCCCACTGACCCACATGCAGGGAGGGAGGCAGGAGAGGACCGGCGGAGCTATTGCCGGCAGCTCCGCCGGGTTCCTCTCGCGAGATATGAGCGTTGCCATGGCAACGCTCAAATCTCGCGAGAGTGAACTCTAGCCCCACAGGGGTTAGAGTTCACTCTCCACTGGACCACCAGGGATCACAGCAGCAAGGATCCCCTCCTCCACTGGACCACCAGGGAAGGAAGCAGCAGCACGATCCCCCCTCCCTACAAAAGGTAAGAAGGGAGGGGGGATAGCAAATAATGTACCCCCACCTCCACCCCCCACAATCACCCACCCACATACAGCACACACACACACACACATACAGCACACACAGACATACAGCACCCACAGACATACAACACCCACACACATACAGCACCCACAGACATACACAGCACCCACAGACATACAGCACCCACAGACATACACAGCACCCACAGACATACACAGCACCCACAGACATACAGCACCCATACACATACAGCACCCACACACATACAGCACCCACAGACATACACAGCACCCACAGACATACACATCACCCACACACATACAGCACCCATACACAGCACCCACACACATACAGCACCCACAGACATACACATCACCCACACACATACAGCACCCACACACATACAGCACCCACAGACATACACAGCACCCACACACATACAGCACCCACACACATACAGCACCCATACACAGCACCCTCAGACATACACAGCACACAAACAGCTCCCTCACACACACACAGCACACTAACAGTACCCTCACAAACACAAACAGGACCCTAACAAACACACACACAGCACACTACCAGTACACTCACATACAAACAGCACCCTCACACACAGTACATTAACAGCACCCTCACAAGCGCGCACACACACACAAACAGCACCCTCACACACAGTACATTAACAGTATCCTCACAAGCACGCACACACAAACACCCTCACCCACATAGCACACTACCAGCACCGTCACACACACATCACACTAACGGCACCCTCACACAGCACACACAGCAGTGTGTGTATGTGTGTATATATGTGTATGTGTGTGTATATATATATATATATATATATATATATATATACATATACATATATGCGGCGTGTGCTTGTGCTTTAGGGTGCACACCCTAATGCAATAGGCTGCGCACGCCTATGGGTTAAATACAGCTTTTTTCACCATAGCATGGACCAAAGACCATGCACAAAGCATGGACTGTATAGTTGTGTCCTTTTGGGACTGATCAGTATGGCACAGTTCTAGAGTTGATGTCTTTCTGGCAGCATCTAGGTAGGTATTATAGAAGGTTATGGCAAGGGCAAAACATAATAAAATTCTCCACTGATTGATGTTGATTTTTTCTGGAAAAATTACAGAAACATGATTTCTTAGAATTTCCATGAACATTTCCATCTGTATGCATCTGACTTGTATAATAATATCCCGTACACAATTAAAGGAACACTATAGAATTAGGAATGCAAGCATGTTCTAGTAACTAGGCAGACTATTGCCCCTTCCTAAATGAAATAAATAAAGATTTTTACTTAAGTGAAAAAAAAAAAACCAAGTACTGGACGCAACAACCTAAATACAGAAAATTAAATAAATAGATGTGTGAACTTAAAGGGACTCTTTACTCACCAAAACAAATTTGGCTTAATGAAGAGGTTTTAGTGTATAGATCATGCCCGTGCAGTCTCACTGCTTAATTCACTGCCATTTAGGAGTTAAATCAATTTGTTTCTATTTGTGCAGCCCTAGGCACACCTCCCCTGGCTGTGATTGACACAGTCTGCATGAAAACAAAATAGTTTCATTTTCAATCTTTAAAAATGTTTAGCTCCTGTTCTGTAAATTGAACTTTAATCACACACAGGAGGCTACTGCAGGGTCTAGCAAGCTATTAACAGAGCAGGAGATAGGAAATTCTAAATTAAACAGAATTTGCAAAAAGGGAAGTGTAAACATTAGATGACTCTTTACAGGAAGTGTTTAGGAAGGCTCTGCAACTCAATGCAATGAGATGTGACTAGGGCTGCATAAACAAAGTGATTTAACTCTTAAATGGCAGATAATTTAGCAGTGAGACTGCAGGGCATGGTCTATACACAAAACCCCTTAAGGACCAAACCTCTGGAAAAAAAAGGGAATCATGACATGTCACGTGTCCTTAAGGGGTTAAAGGATCACTATAGTGTCAGGAAAACAAAGTGGTTTTCCCGACACTATAGTGCCCTGAGGGTGCCCCCACCCTCAGGGTTCCGCATTCAAAGTGTCCATAGGAAAGCATTTCTCAATGCTTTCCTATGGACGCTCTGCGCGATGGAGGCGAAATGCTTCTTCCGGACAGTCACTAGAGGCTGGATTAACCCCAAATGTAAACATAGCAGTTTCTCTGAAACTGCTATGTTTGCATCTGAAGGGTTAAAACATGAGGGACCTGGCACCCAGACCACTTCATTGAGCTGAAGTGGTCTGGGTGACTCTATAGTCCCTTTAAGCTTAAGTTGTTCTGCTGACTATAGTGTCCCTTTAATGAGTTAAAGTGTGGAATTACACACAATTACACAGACAAATAAAGGGGGAAAAAAGCATATAAATTGTGCCCACACCAGAACTTACTATTTATATCAAGAGTTAAATAAAGCACACTTTGGCATACTCACTTAATTAGTCTTTTCAAGGGGAGTTTAGAGTCTGCTGGAAACGCTTTATTTGCAGTGAAGTTGTCCTCCTTAAAAAAGAGATATGCCTCAATGTTTTGTAATGAAGACACCATCAAAATTCTACCCAAATGTGAAGAACAGCTATTATATTTAACATAAATACATTTTCGTATACATAATTTTTCTGGAGCTTATTTGGGATTATCTATGTGTGCGGAACTACATGCACCTATTGTCTCAGTTTTGATATAAATAGTGAGTTCTGGCGTGGACACAAAGTTTTTTGTTTGTCTGTGTAAAGGATTTATTTTTACCATATCACCCCGTACCCTCTCATTGGGAAGCATTGCATGCAGATGTGCATGAAATTGCCTCGCTGTACTAATCAGCATCTCCTCATAGTGAATGTATGTCTATAAGGAGAATTCTACATCTCTATGCAGAGCATGGAGACTCTGAACATCGGTCTAAACTCAGGATAGGTCACCAAAATAATTTATCATAGCAGCTCCACATCTGGTCATACTACCCCACTCACAACCCTAAAATTAGAGAGTCCCTCTTGGCCAATTTGTCAGTGTTGGGAAGTATGGTTCTATCTCCAAAACATTTTACATGCATTCAGTCATGTTTTATTACACACTTTACCCCACACGTCTCTAATAAAACTCTTCAAAATCTTCACTGCAAGAGAAGGGTAAAATAAATCGAATTATAGAGTTACACGGTATTCCCTACACTTTCTATTGTCATGGCCTTCTTTAACACGGGGCAGCTGTCTGGGGCGGGCCCAGTTAGACCTTGGGTGGCCTAAGGCATCTGCCCAATGGACCCGCTGCAGCACCTGAAGTAATCAGGGGCCCCCAGCCCTTTAATACTGCTCTGGACTGGGCCCCTGTTATATGGTGGTGACTGACTACATACACACAGCCCTGTGATTCTCTTTGTTCCATGCAGCATGCTGAGAGGAAGAGAGGGCAGATCACTTCCTCCCAGTAATTCAGATCACTTCCTCCTCAGTGCCGCAGGGGAGGAGGCAAACATAGTGGAGGAGATGGACTGAGAAAGCTGATGGCAGACTCCCATCAGCCTGGGCCAACAAGCTCCCACTGAACCCCAGGGAAGCTACCCTTCTGTACCCAAAAGGTAAGGAGACAAGAGGGTGGCTAAATATGCAATTTTTCTTTGTTTGTTTTGCTAATTTCTGATTTCACTTTTATTCATCAAACATTACAAACATCCATGTGTTCATGTTTGTAATGTAACACACAGGAGAACTACATGTTGAAAATCCTAGAACCTGACAGTTCCCTATTAAATATAAATTACAAAAATGTAAAAATAGTTATTTTATCTGTGTAAGAACAGAGTTGAGACATTATCTTGGCCAAGGTTGCTGTGAGTTGTTGTCCAGGAGCTGCTAGAGGGTAGAGAATAAAATATGTAAATTGACACATATATATGTGTGTGTGTACCTGGGTCTCAGTAAGTTTGTGTATGTGTGTATCTGGCTGTTTATGTCAGTGTGTGTCTGGCTGTGTGTATATCTGGCTGTGTTTGTCAGTGTGTATGTGTATCTGTGTGTATGTATACCTGTGGATATGTACTTGTGTGTCGGTGTGTGTATCTGAATGTGTGGTAATGCCAACACTGTACTCCTACATTACATCGCTAGCACTGTACACAAATACACCCCTGCATGTGTACCTCTGTGTATGTGTGTATCTGAGTGTGTGTACATATCTGCGTCAGTGTGTGTATCTCTTTGTGTGGATGTGCCAGTGTGTGGATGTCTGTGTGTATCAAAGGGCGTGTATCTGAGTGTGTGTGTATGTGCCAGTTTGTGTAAAGGTGTGTGCATGTGTCAAGGTGTGAGCATGTGTCAGAGTGTTTATATGTGTGTATCTGCGTGTTAATGTGTATGTATATATGTGTTAATATGTATGTGCATACATCCCAGAAATCAAGCACAACATGCAAACACAAACATTACCTACAAACACACCCCTTTGCTGAAACACCAATACTACACACAAATGTAGCTACTTTATGCATTTAAAACACAACACTACATTCAAATACAACCCTGCATGCAAATGCAAACATTACATTCAAACACACCCACTGTATTAAAATGCTAAAATTATATACATTACCTCTACACACAAAAGCACACCTGCATTTAAAAATCCAAAACTACAGAAAAACACACACCCCTGCATTCAAAAGCAAACACTACACACAAGTACACCACTGCATTGCAATGGTAACAATATACACAAATACACCTCTACGTGCACACATACACTCTATACAAAACGTGCTTACATTCAAATGTACAAACACTGCTCACAAATACAACCCTTCAAAGATGGTAGATCCCAAGCTGGCATAGCATTGCTGGACTTGTATGACAGATGGTATCTCTTTTCTTCACTCTACAGGGGAGGCCTGAAAGAAAATTCTTGCACCAGGGCACTTTCTACATTAGTTCCACTGCTGGTTTGGGGTGGAGGTTGTGATTGCATGCCCTGGAGGGTGGTGGGGTGGCAGGGTCCAGTGGCCCGAGCAAATACTTGCCCTGGGTCCAATCAATATTAAAGGACCACTATAGGCACCCAGACCACTTCAGCTCAATGAAGTGACACGGGTGCCAGGTCCCCCTAATTTTAACCCTGTAGCTGAAATCAGAGAAACTGCTATGTTTACACTGCAGGGTTAATCTAGCCTCTAGTTCCCGTCTCCCTGACAGCCATTAGAGACTCTTCCGCGATTTTCACAGAGTAAATCGCAGTTATTTGACGCTAGATGTCCTCACGGAGTCCAGCATCACAAAAGATCCCCATAGGAAAGCATTGAGTCATGCCTTCCTATGGACGGGTTTGAATGTGCGTGTGGCTCTGACCACACATGCGCATTTGACTCCACGCAGGATATGTCGTTGATGGAGTAGGAGAGGTCACCAGCGCCGAGGGAGCTGGTGTAGGATAAGCAAATAAATGGTTAATTAACCATTTATTCGCCACGGAATGGGGCCCTAGTCACCATTTAGGTGAGTAGGCTCTATAGCGTTAGGTATACATATTTGTATTCCTAACGCTATAGTGTTCCTTTAAAGATGACCCTGCCTATTGTTGTGAATCGAAATCTGATATGCAAAATTTAGGAAAAAAATAGTTAATCTGCAAACATTCTCTAACTCATCTCTAATTACAACTTGGCTATTTTTACCCTGTGTTTTTCCATTCTGTTTTCAATTCACTGCAATTTGGAGTCCACTGAATGTTTTACAAACTAATTTCTACATAGACCAAATACAGGTTCAATTACTAACTATAGAGACCCCAATATGAATGAATAAATATAGCTAATTCCATGGTGCACAACCAGCAGGCCGAGCACAAAGGGAGACACAGTCCACAAACCTTGCGCATAAAATGTTAATTTACATTCACATTGCATTCAATTGTGAAACTACTGACTCCAGCCTGTCAGAATATAGAGAAAGCAGCTCCTCCTGTCTGTCTATCCAGTCTAATTTTCTATGGTTAGTGACGCTCTTTCCCTGCCCTACCGCTCTATGGTCTGTTTCAGCTTCCTTCTCCCTGCGTGAGTGTACGTAACGTTCTAAGACTTGTTACATTGTTGCAGGGTCTGAGGTGTGTGTTCTGTCGGTGACAGGTGATGGGACATGCTGCAGTTATACAGTTACCGAAGGGGTAGAAGTGTGTGTTTTTGACTGGGCTGGTGTTTTGATATTTTAATTGCTATGCTAAGACATCTACAGCTGTCAGGGATGGTGTCCTGCTATTATCAGATCGTGCAATCTGCAGGCTAATAATGCATAGTGTGAGCACGTTTTTCATATTTTCCCTTAATAAATGATTGGAGTAAATGTATAACAATAATGCTTTTCTATGAAGGAAAGCAGCATCAGGTTGATTTGTAGGACTACAACTCACATGATGTTTTGCATGCTTTTAGATTAAAAAGCATCATGGAAGTTGTAGTTTTTAGGGGGTCTACCCTGCTCTACAGCATTATTTTTTCCCAATGGAATATTTCGATGCACTTTGGACACACAATTCTGTGTATGCTGCGCAGTGCTGTCAAGTAGAATTTAAAGTAAACATGTCTAGAGTCTTTAAGAAGGTTTAATTTTATCAAATGTATTCTATTCTTTTCAATGTGGAAGTTAGCATCACTAACAACTTCGAGAGACACTCAATGAACTTATTGTCTGAGGAGTTCCTGAGTGATGTCATACCCCAAGGTTTAACCCAAAAGTCTGCCAGATGGCACCTGATTGCTCTGCTCCTGCGTTTCTGCTCAGTGTCTGAGGCTTCCATGAGGTAGCTGGGTGCTGGTGATAGGCTGTGAAAATGGTACATGTTTTTTTTTGTTTTTTTTAATTCAATGGGAAGCTGATAGCCTGAAAGCACCATCTGAGGCACTCAGCATATCCGTGGAAACTGGTCTGAGGCTTCCTGATTGAAACAAAAACTGATAAAATGAGAACTCTGAGAATGTGCAAAAGCTTTGAGAAACTTCAGCTTGCCCTTTGATTTGTATTGCAGCCTTGAGTGGAAATGCAGGGACATCAGGACAGAGTGATCGGACGCCAGCTTGCAGACTTTGGGGTTAAACTGTACATTAATGTTTAATTCTTTCAGATAAGATATCACCTTGTATTCCTCAAACAGAAACACTGCACATCCAGACTCATACCACCATGGACACTTCTATTTACTATTCACAATGTGAACACTGGCATTCCAGCAGAACAGCTATGTTTTCAACTGCATTATTATTATTATTATTGCCATTTATATAGCGCCAACAGACTCCGTAACGCTTTACAATATTTTGAGAGGGGGGATGCAACAATAAATAGGACAATTACAAGAAGACTTACAGGAACAATAGGTTGAAGAGGACCCTGCTCAAACAAGCTTACAGACTATAGGAGGTGGGGTATTAGAAACATTAGGACAGGAAATATCAAGTAGGAGTGAAGCAGAGCTGGAGGAGAGAGCAAGAGGCAGGTCTGTAAGGTAGAGATTACTCTGGGAGGCCATAAGTTTTCCTGAAGAGATGGGTTTTAAGGCCCTTGTTAAATGATTGACTAGGGGAGAGTCTGATGGCAGTAGGAAACTGCATGGTTAAAAGAGGTGGAGTAGGGGGCACTTGGAACCCAGACTACTTCATTTCAGTAAAGTTGTCTGGGTGCCTGTAATGTTCTTTTTAAATCCGATTTGCAAGACTAAGCATAAAAAAGCTAATTTGGCTCAATTCTCCAAATCCGCTTTCAGTCAAAATGTGGATATTATACCTTCAATTTTGTCATTCAGATTTAATTCACTAAAATATTGTATTTAGTAAATTGTATCAAACTCTAACTTGGATTAAAACATTTTTTTTTTGTATATAACAGCATTTCTCTAATAAAATGGCACAATTAGGCAAATATGCATAAAAAGCACCAAGTTCACTTTCTCTTATGTGCATATTTTGTACATTGGGTACTTTTTTTTTTTTTTTTTTTTACACACCTTCTGTAGTGTGGCAAAATATTTCATTCCTTTTGTTGCATTTTTTTTTCAATACTAATTTTATCTTGAAGAGACAGGAAGTAGAAAAAGCAATGCCACACAGAATGGAGATATATCAAAGAGAAGAAGAAACAAGACTGATAGTGTAACACTGCTAGATACTAAATTCAAATACCACATAATTAGTAAACTCACAAGTGTAGGAAATAACTGTGCCTTGAACAAGTGGAGGCAATGCTATGTATACTCATTTTTTAGGTTTGTAATCAGTAAAGTGTTTCTATAAATCTTTTTTTTTTTTTTTATTTATGCTCTTCTGTGTTCCCTCCCTCCCCACCCCCCTTTATAAATAAAAAAAAAAGTGAACCATACATGTCTGCATGTTTTGTGTAAAAAAAAAAAAATTAAAAAAAATTTCCTGCAACAAATAACTGCCTACTGCCTCAAGATATTCTAGTCATTAAGTTATTTTATTGCACATTATGTATAAAAGTTACCTCAAAAGTGTACCTTTTTTTTCAATCACTTTATTGAACTATAGTTCTTCACTATTCTGTGTGGGATATCCTGCACTGTAAGAAAAGTAAAAAAAAAAAAAAATGAGAATAATATAAATTTGAGAATAATGAGCTTTATGTACAAACAATGGTGCACACTATCACTAAGCTTGATTTATTTGTTTATATTTTTTATTCTATTGTAAGTTATGTATAAACATGTCTGAATAGGCTTTATACATGAGAACAAAATTGAGCATATTCGCACATCTTATTCTTACATTTGCAGCTTTTATTACAGTGCAGACAGTGCCAAATAAAGGATGGCAGTGAATACTAATTCGCTTAATTGACTGCACACTTTTTTTTCTCTCTGTTGTTATCTATTATCTGTGACAAAAATTAAATAATTAGAGAACGTTTGGCTTTTGTAACACCTAGTGTGCAGGGATATATTTCTAGTGGGAATCCTATTAATTGTATCTTAATTGCACAATTCTTACACACTCATTAATTCATAACCCTGTTATTCTTGAGAATAGAAAGTCACAAATGTCCCACGCTTTGTTCTCCTTTATAAAACCCATTCAGACAACATCTTACATAGTGTACATTCACAAAGGTTAAAGACCATGCTTAGTCAGAGATTTCACTTACTTATACTTCTGTGTTTATATAGTGTGAAAAAAACATTGGAGGTTATGTATTACTACTGGTGTGATCACTAAGCACGACCTACTTAAAAGGACACAGTATGCACCATAACCACTACATCTGACTAGTAAATGTAGGAAGCCATAAGTAATAAATGTAATTAACCACACTATGTTTAAACTGTTTGATAGTTTATCACAACAATGTATTGTTGTCTCTTTGTCTAAAGACTTCTTACATGGCAGCAAACGCAGGGACAGACACAATGCCGGGAGAGGGGAAGCACTGTTTGGACAAAACAGAGAAGAACAATTTAGTACAGTGAGTATGGATAATGTGACTACTTTACCATGAAACTAATTGTTGTAGTGTGATGACAACCCAGAGGGTTATGTACAGGTGATATCATGCAAAAGTTAATTTATTTCAGTAATGCAATGTAAAAGGGGAAACTAATATATGAGACGCATTAAATGCAAAGCAAGATAGTTCAAGCCATGATTTGTCATAAGTGCGATGAATATGGCTTACAGCTCATGAAAACCCCAAATCCACAATCTCGGTAAATTAGAATATTGTGAAAAGGTGCAATATTCTAGGCTCACAGTGTCTCAATCTTATCAGCTAAGTAAGCCATAACACCTGCAAAGGGTTTCTGAGCCTTTAAATGGCCCCTCAGTCTGATTCAGTAGGAATCACAATCATGACGGCTGACTTGACAGTTGTGCAGAAAACCATCATTGACATAAGGAGGGAAAGCCTCAAAAGGTAATTGCGAAGGAAGTTAGATGTTCCCAAAGTGCTGTATCAAAGCACATTAGTAGAAAGTTGTGTGGAAGAAAAAGGTGCACAAGCAGCAGGGATTACCACAGCCTGGAGAGTATTGTCAGGAAAAGGCCATTCAAAAGTGTTGGGGACTTTAACAAGGATTGGACTGAGGCTGGAGTCAGTGCATCAAGAGCCACCACACACAGACGGATCCTGGACATGGGCTTCAGATGTCGTATTCCTCTTGTTAAGCTGCTCCTGAACAACAAACAACGTCAGAAGCATCTTACCTGGGCTAAAGAAAAACAGACCTGTTGCTCAGTGGTCCAAAGTCCTCTTTTCTGATGAGCGCAACTTTTGCATCTCATTTGGAAACCAAGGATCCAGAGTCTGGAGGAAGAATGGAGAGGCACACACTGCAAGATGCTTGAAGACCAGTGTGAAGTTTCCACAGTCTGTATTGATTTGGGGAGCCATGTCTTCTGTTGGTGTAGGGGGTTGAAGAAGATAAGGTTACGGGGGAGAAGAAGAGATTACAGGGAGGGAAGGGGGGAGAAGAAGAGAAAATTACATGGGGGAGGGGAGAAGATTACAGGGAGGGTGGAGAAGAAGAGATTACAGGGACGGGGGGAGAAGAAGAGAACACGAGGGTGGGAGATAAGAACGTAGGGAAGGGAGAGACCACTAAAGGAGGGAGGGGACGGTGGAGAGACCACTAGGGGAGGGTGGGGGGAGAGGAGAGACCACTAATGGAAAGTCGAGGAGAAAAGGAGACCACTAAGGGAGGTGGGGGGGAGAGGAGAGACCACTTAGGGGCAGGGGAGATCTCTAAGGAATGGAAGAGAGAGCTCTATAGGACAGGGGGCAGGACTGGGAGCTCTTTCACACCATGCGCGCAAACACACACACAATGCATCCCCATACACACAGAAACACAACATGCTTCCCTTACACACAGAGAAACACACAATGCAACCCTTACACACACATGCAAACACACACTGCTTCTCTTACACACACACAGAAACACAATGCATCTCTTACACACACTCAACGCACCCCTTACAGACACACACACTGCATCTCTTACATACACAGAAACACACTTTGCATCCCTTATGCATACAAACACAGATTCACACAAAACATTCCTTACACACAACAAGAAACACACAATACATCCGTTATACACAAACACTCACTGCTTTCTGTCCCTTACACAAAAACACACTGCTTCCACTACACACAAACACACTGCATCACAAACTGGTATCCCTATACACTACATACCATAAGCACAAACATTAGATCCTCTACAGTAACACATAACACATACCCTACACACTCTACTCCCTGTGAGCGAACTCATGGGTGGAACATGTAGGTGGACTTATGGGTGGGCTTTATGGGTATACTCACCATCAGGCTCTGGGGCCCAGACCTTGAGCTATGTAAGAGGCCCCAAAAAATGGAGCTGCTTCCCGTTCTCCCAGAATATTGAATTTTGTGACCACAGTTACAAACAGCCTCCAGAGATCCTGTTCTCTAATTTACCTCACATTAAATGGACACTATAGTCCCCAGAACCACTGCAGCTTAATAAAGTTGTTCTGGTGTCTATAGTTTGTCCCTGCAGGCTTTTTAATGTAAACACACACTGTGTGCAGCACTAGCATTAGTTCATATGGCAGATCATATGGGTGGGGCATTGTGATGTCCCAGGGGGGCGTGGGGGGGGTTGAGGGGGGCGGCAAATCTTTATTTTGCCTAGGGCGGCAAAAATCCTTGCACCGGCCCTGCTTATACTTTTCAGAGGTCCGATATTGTTCTATGTACACTCCTTGTTTTATTTATTGCATGTAATATTCCAATTTACTGAGTTTGTGGATTTGGGGTTTTCATGAGCTGTAAGCCATAATCAGCGCACTTAAGACAAATCACGGCTTGAACTATCTTGCTTTGCATGTAGTGCGTCTATCTCATATATTAGTTTCCCCTTTTACGTTGCATTACTGAAATAAATGAACTTTTGCACGATAAGCTTTTTCGAGTATCATCTGTATTAACAAAAAGAAAGATGGACACACCCGATTAATAGCCATTAACGATGGACTAAGAAAACTAATATACATAAGGGTGCGCACTCCAAAAGCTGCATTTCCAAAGAGCTACTAATATAATCATATACTAATGAAAGGAGGAGCATAACCAATAAAAATGCAGAAAACTTTATTGTACAGGCTCACATGTAACAGGTATCAACAAGGAAATCATAGAATGACAATATACTTAAACATATCTACTCAATATGTAGCAATGACTAGGACCAAAGGGGAAAAAAGTAGGAAAATTCTGATCTAAATAATCCACATCAAGTGGTATAACCACTGATACAAAAAAGCAATGTTATGAAACCTGTATAGGATAGTGAACCAAAAAATACATACCAAACACAGACCCTATCAAGAAACACGAGCAGAGGGTGAAGACGTCAAACACAAAATAGCCCCCAGAGTGTTATGGCAAGGTATGAGAATGCTTGTTTAATAAATTGAGTCAAGCCTGTAAGTAGAATTTTTATTTTAATTTTTTTTGTAGTTGTCTTCATTGAGCGTTTAAGAAAAATTGTGTCTTTAAAGCATAGTGCATTTTCTCTATTTGTAGATGGCTTTTTATCCTGTTTATCTTAAAATAAGTTTTTTTTTTCTTAACTCTTAAAGTGATAAGGAGCCATATAATACAGTATATATTTTTTTCTTTACTTTTCCTGCCATTTGATTTTTGTCTGCCTACTTTTTATGTTTTCAACACTATGCATCTTATGCCCCCTATAGCAAGGTGTACCTAGATTACAATGCGACTACGCCCACTGTGCCAGAAGTAGTCGAGGCAGTGAAAGAGGCCATGCAAGATGCCTGGGGAAATCCAAGTAGCAGCTATGCAGCAGGTAACTGAATATGTGATGCAGTGTATAATATAAATTAATATTTGTAGTAATGGATACGATGGCATTTCATTTTAATGCACTCGTAAGTAGATATGTTGTGGGAAAGAAATTATAATAATAAGAAAACACCCACGTTATTTCTAAAGTTTTTTTTTTTTTTCATCTGGTCTCTTTGTTATATAAATGTACGGACTGCTTTACTTATGGGCTTCTCTTTCTTCTGGTAACATCAGAGTGATTATTAGCTTCTTGCAATAATGTCATCATGCCATCTTCAAAAAAAAGTCACACTGCATGATTATCTAAATAATCTTCCAAAAATATCACCAGGACGAAAAAACTCACAAAGTAAAGTTATCTTTGTATTACCAACAATAATATGTAAATGGAACATGACATCCCCTAGATAACTTAAAAAAAACAACAAACACGATATACCTTATTTAAATTGTCTTACGCGTTATATTGTAGAAGGAAAACATTAGAAAGCTTGGTGCAAGTGCTATACCACACGTTAAAAGGGTTACTATAGGTACCCAGACCACTTTAGCTCATTGAAGTAGTCTGGGTGCAGTGTCCCAGGCCCCTTAATCCTGCAATTGTAATTATTGCAATTTTTAATAAACTGGAATAATAGAAACTTAAATGTGACGGCAGATAAGAACCATTTGGCACGTCTAGTCTGCCCAATTTCTGAATACTTTCATTAGTCCCTGGCCTTATGTTCTAGTTAGGATAGCTTTATGCCCAGTGGCGTACACACAACCCATGGGCCCTGGTGCGAAACTGATCCATGGGGCCCCCCTTCCTTTTGCCCCCCTCTAGTTCCCCACCGACAGAGACACACACACACACACACACACACACAGACAGATATATACAGACACAAACACACGTACATTCATACAAAGACACATACATACAAACAGACAGGCACACATACATACAGACAGACATACATACAAAGACACATACAAACAGGTGCACACACACATACATACATACATACATACAAACAGACAGGCACACACACAAGACATACATACATACATACAAACAGACAGGCACACATACATACAAACACACACACACATAATATTGATAGCTGGGAGGAATGATGGGGAGCCACTTCCTCCCATCGTGTGATGGCCCGGTTGCGTTGTTAAAGCGCTGCAGCGCTGACCAGGCCCCCTGAAAATCCATCTCCATCGGGTGGCCCTGACAGCATACGCCACCCAATGGGCACCTTAACATGCGGCCGGCCGGAGGGCGCAAATGATGATGGCGGGCACCCGCACGCAGAGGTCTGCAGGGCTGCCGGGCCCGGTCGCAGCTGCGACCCCTGCGACCGCTATATGTACGCCAGTGCTTATGCCTATCCCATGCATGCTTAAACTTCATTGTGTTAACCTCTACCACTTCAGCAGGAAGGCTATTCCATGCATCCACTACCCTCTCAGTAAAGTAATACTTCCTGATATTATGTTTAAACCTATGCGCCTCTAATTTAAGACTATGTCCTCTTCTTGTGGTAGTTTTTATTATTTTAAATATACTCTCCTCCTTTACTGTGTTAATTCCATTTGAGGGTTAACTCCACCTATAGTGGCTGTCTACCAGACTGCCACTAGAGGGACTTCCGGGTGATTACGCAAATATTGATCACCTAACTGATGCTGGACGTCCTCACATATAGTAAAGCTTCATAAATCGTAGATAAGCTTAGATTCTAGGAATGTTAAGGTTTATTCGTAAACATTTTAGGTTGAATCTAAGATTTTGCACACATTTGTCAGTTGTTGGTTTACAGCATGTCATCTGTCACCATGGAAAAATGAATCTATGTAAAGATACTATAATGAAGGATTCATGTAAGCACTGTACAGTTGGCTTTAAATATTATTTGTTTCAGGGGACATTTAGGAAACTTTCATATGGGGACCAGCCAAAGAGAAATATATATAGGGCTATTCACTAAATTGAGAAATCTAGGCGAATCAAAGTGAATTTCAAATTTTTATTTTTATTTTTTTTTATTGTATTTTATGAGGTAGAAACAGTAAATGTGCATTGTTGGAATGTACAATTATCAATTGTCACAATGGTATCACTTATATTCAACATGCGTAAAAATTGATGCAATCTCAATGTTTACATGCTTTCCAAATTTTTCACAATTTCCCTTATCACACGGTGCCAAACAAATCAAGCACCGCATTTTTAAAACTCGTTTACCCGGTGATTGGGTCACATCATTACATCACTGCCTATTAGAATAGCTATACCATTGAGTATCTAGACTCGTATCCTGTCCTTAGAGTCAAATGGTAGGTATAGGGTTCGCTGTGTCAGTGGTCTCACTGTATTTGAGCTCAATGTTCTCGTTTTCCTTTTACCCCCTCTACCTGCGGCTTTAACTTGCCTATTGGTCCGGGATAGTGACATTACAGGTATACCATCTTGTGTACAAGAGTTTTTCCTTTCGTACCTATTTTGTATTTGATAAATGAACTAAAAAAAAAAAGAAACTAACAGGGGGGGAAACAAGAAAAAAAACGAGAAGAACTGGGTGGTGAGAGGGGGGTAGGGAGGGAGGGGGGAGAACATAAGTTCTCAATGCTTCCCATGTACATATTCTACCTAGTTCTCCAGAAATGGCACTATGTCTCTCAGTTGCTTTGTTTCTTCCCTTATCTATATGCCACACTTTATGGGGTGCCTGTATTCTTCCCACATATGCCATGCATCTATCCAGAAGTTTTTTGGCGCCCTATGTGCACGTACAGTGCATTCATAAAGTCTGGTGTTATCTAGATGTGAGATAATCGTGTCTATTAGTGGAGGATCTTTTTGAAGCCACGCCTTGGCTATAGCTGTGATTGCTGCTATAGTCATGTGGAAAAGGAGATATTGTTGGGATTTCGAAAGGTTCCGTGGTATATGTTGTAGAAGGAATATCTCAGGCGCAAATGCCACGTCTATATTCCCTATCTGTCTCATAAGGGACTGTAGGGACTTCCATATTTTTGCAATGACAGGGCATGTCCACCAGATATGCATGACATCTCCCTTGTCATCCCCACATCTCCAGCACTTTTCTGTCTGTTTCGGGTCTATATGTTTCAGCTTGGTTGGTACCATATGCCATCTATACAGCATTTTTCTCGACATTTCTATCTGGGCTGTGGATAAAGTTAAGTGTTTGTGGGCCGTAAAACTTTTACGCCAGTTTTCTTCTGGTAATTTTTTCCCCATGTCATATTCCCATTTTTTGATAAAAGTCAGGTCCTTTATCTGTTTTGTGGGTAAATAACTACTATATACTTTGGAAATGATGCCGGCTGTTTTATTAGAGTTGGTGCATAGTTGTCTCAATACCTCCATGTTTCTCTTTGTATCTGTGGTGTATAGTGACCCTTTATGTCTCCCTATCCACGATAATATCTGTCTATGTGCGAACTCCGCTGTAAGTGGGAGCTCGTACTCTTTTTGTAATGAGGCAAAGGCTGTATACTTATCGTTATCCATAAGTTGGTGTAAGTGTGTTAGGCCTGCCCTGTCCCATTTTCTAATGTTTAGTTGTGGGATCAATATTTCAAAGGAGCGCAGGAGCATTGTTGGGTGTAGCTCTGTGTCGAGATTTAAGAATTTTGTGTATTTGTCCCATTCTTTCAGAGTTAAAGATGTTATCGGGGAAATGTCCTGAAACTTTTTTCTGTGAGTTTTATGGATTCCAGCTAATGTTGCGATGTCGTGTCCCTCTGTGTATGACGCTTCTAAGTGTACCCACGCCGGGGGTGTGGAATGGGAGCGGAATACTGCCACTAGTGAGCTGACTATCGCCGCTTTGTGATATAGGTCTAAGTTTGGGAGACCCATACCCCCCGATTTTTGTGATAGGTAAAGTATATTTGCTGCAACCCTGGGTCGTTTTTTAGCCCATACGAAGGTGTTAATCATTTTCTGTGCTTCTTTGATGTATGTTGTAGGTAATTTTATGGGTAGGGTGCGGAATAGGTATTGGAGCCTGGGAAGAACCATCATCTTAATAGCGGCTATCCTCCCAGTCCATGAGATATATTTGTTTTCCCAACTTCTAAGTTGAGTGCTGATAGAATGGAGAAGTGTGGTATAATTGGCTTTGAACAATTTGTGTATTTGATTCGTAAATTTTATACCCAGGAACGTGAGGTGGTCTTGTCTCCACTCAAAGGCAGTGGATTGTTGCAGGGTACTTTGTGCTTTCGGTGTCATGAATAGGCTCATTGCTTGTGTCTTAGCCACATTTAACTTGTAATATGAGCAATCACTGTACTCTTTCAGTATAGTGTTAAAGGTTGGGATGGAGAGTTGTGGGTTAGTCAATGATAGCAGTACATCATCGGCAAATGCTGTTATTTTGTATTCTCTTCCCCCTCTTACTATGCCTGTGATTCGTGGTTCGTCTCTAATGGCCTGTAACAGTGGCTCCAGCGCTATGATATAGAGGAGTGGTGACAATGGGCAACCTTGCCTGGTTCCATTAGTTATGTAAAAGGGCTGTGATGCGAAGCCTCCATTTGTCACTCTAGCCGAGGGTTTGGAGTATAATGCCGTTATTAAATTTAGGAATGGTTGTGGAAATTGGAATTTCTGTAGTGTTTCTCGTAGGAAGCCCCAGTGCAGCCTGTCAAACGCTTTTTCAGCGTCAAGCGACAGGAACACACTGGGTTCTCCCTGTCGTTGCTTTGTGTAAAGTAAATTGTATAGTTTCCTTGTGCCCTCAGCCCCTTGTCTGCTTTTAACAAATCCCACTTGATCTTGTTTGATTATTGTAGGTAGTGTATCTGCGATTCTTGTGGCGTACAATTTAGCTAGGATCTTGGTATCTGTATTTAAAAGGGATATGGGCCGTAAGTTTTGAGGCTTAGTTGGGGGCTTACCTGGCTTTGGCAGGGTAACTATATGCGCCATCAGCATGTCCTGTGGCATCTTACCCGTGGATATTATGTGATTAAATGTATCTACTAAATGTGGTCCTACAATATGGCTGAATGTTTTGTAATAAGAATTGGTTAGACCATCTGGTCCCGGTGATTTGCCCGGGGGAAGTGATTTAATTATTTGTAGGATTTCAGACAGGGTGACGGGATCGCATAACTGTTTACGTTGGTCTTCTGTTAGGCTGGGCAGAGAGACGTTGGATAAAAAGTTTTGGATGTCGTGTGCGGACGGTTGATGGGTCTGGGGGTCCTGTTTTATGTTGTATAATGTGCTATAGAAATTGGCCATTTCTGTGAGAATTTCCCGTGGGTCATGTATTTTCCCTCCTGTATGATTATGTAGATATGGGATTTTTGATTGGGCTTGCTTCTGTCTTAGGAGCGATGCCAAAGCCTTGCCGGCTCTGTTACCCTGAGTATAATTGCGTATCTTCAGGTTCTGAAGCATATGTGCCGTTTCATCTAATAGTAGCTCATTTATTTGCTTTGTGATCAAGATTATTTCCTGTGCCAAATCTGCTGTAGGGGTTAGATAGTGGGCGTTTTGTAAGTCCCTCAGTTTTTTTAGTGAATCAAGATATTTTTTGTCTTTAGCTCTTTTTATATACACTGCTCTACTAATTAAGATCCCTCTAACCACTGCTTTATGAGCTTGCCAGGTGATTGTGGGTTCCAATTCTGGCATCGTGTTGGTTTGGAAGTATTCTTGAAGGTCTTGACTTAGTTGAGTGCGGAAGTCTTTATGCATGATTAGAGCGTCATTTAATCGCCACGGGGGTTTCCCTTTATGGTCAAATTTGGTTTGCAACTTTGCTGACACTGGGGCATGGTCAGACCACACTATGTCCCCAATCTCACTACTTGTCATTTTTGGCAAGATGTCTGCAGTAACAAGAATCATGTCTATTCTGGAATGAGTTTTGTGGATATGGGAGAAATATGAGTAACCCTTTTCGGTTGGGTGTTGTAATCTCCAGATATCGTATAGGTTGTGTTCTAGGAGTACTTTAGTTAGTGTTTTGCATTGTTGTGTAAGGAGTCTTGATCTGGGGGCGTCTTGGCTAAGGGAAGTGTCTGCTACTGGATGTAAGACATGATTCATGTCCCCACATAATATCATTGAGGTTTTTTGCCTGGTTGGAATTTTGTTAAGGACTTTAAGTAAAAAGTTCCTTTGGTTAACGTTTGGGCTATAGATCCCCACGAATGTGTACTTACTAGTGTTAATGTTGCAATAGATTATGAGATATCGGCCTTGTGTGTCTTTTTTGAGTTGCAACAATTCAAACGCAAGGGATTTGTGAAAAAGGAAAGACACTCCCCTAGATTTGGAGGAATGAGTCGCATGAAATTGAGTGGGAAAGTCTCTGGTGCCAAATTCTGGGACTTTATTGTGTTTAAAGTGTGTCTCCTGTATACACAGGATATCTGTATGGTTACGTTTCGCTGTTTCTAAAAATACTCTCCTTTTATGTGGGGTATTAAGGCCCCTTACATTATGGGATTGAATAGTCACACTCATTAGTGAGTGATAAAGTTTTGCGGACAGGCCCCTCATGTTGCCCTGATTTCGTTACCTTGTAACCTGTATGTTGTTTTTTCTGTTTTGTGTTAACCCATACATATGTCGAAGGTGGTAATCGTAGGCGTATGTCGCACATTAAGAGAGCTTCTGTAACATCATAAGTACCTGGAAGACGGGAAGGGTAGGGAAGTTGGGGGTAGTCGGGGAGGGTGTAACTTGGACTTTTATAACTCACCCCAGTTGGGGTCATGGCACCCATCTGCGGAGCCATGGGGGGTAGATATCAAGATATCTGTCTGTGTGGCTAAAGGCCTTAACGTTCTATTTATATAGAGAATAGGACCTGGTCCTGTGTGTGGTGACCCATACGTGTCTTGGTGTGACTTCTTTGTGAGAGCCCTCTTGCTATACCTAGGTATCTCCATAACCACCTAATGCATCGAGAAGAGAGAAAAAACAAGTAAAAACCAAAGTGTTTGACATACTAATACATAATAATACTTTCCCGCATTTAACAATGAATATGTAACATCTATCTTTTAGAACCATGGGGAGCTGACTTAGCTCCAATGTGTGCTCTTTATAGTCTTTGCCTTTGCGGCTCAGGCACCCTTCGTCTCGGCTTCGGCATACGATGCATTGGTTGCTCAGTAGTAGGGGGTGAGAGATAAGTGGTAGTCTGTGGGCATATTTTTTTTTTTTTTCCTCCTCTCCTTCCCCTTCCTTTTCCAAAAGAGAGGGATGAAAATTGTGTTTGGGGCCTCCCAGTATACGGGTGAGTCCTGATCTCATGTCCCTAATACCATGGGCAGGGTGATGTGATGGCAATCAACAAGCAGCTTACGTTGCTTTATTATCCCCTTTTGGACAACTGGGGACTCTTATTCATTTATTATACTACTCTTTGGTTTATATGTATTGCGGGATGATGCTGCAACCAGTGTACCCTTTTAAGAGTAGTCGTGTAGGGATAGAGGCTAAGCAATGAGTTTATAAAATGTAGTAGGGTATGGTAATTTTGCCCTTATGTCAGTGCATGTGTTCGTGCGGTACCTGAGCCCTCAAGTTGTCAGAGACTGCAAAATGGGTTTCTTAGTGTCCTCGATGTCTCTCTAGTCTGATCTGGGATCTTGCTTGTTGGGGGGTGATCACCCCTGTATTATCTAAAGTTATTAACGATCTTGAGATTCCAAAATTTTCATGTCAATAGTTTCTTGTAGCCAGTAGTCCCTGGTGGTCGAATTCACTGCCGTGAGTTAGGTGGTGTAGGGTCAGGTCTTGAAAGGGTCCCTCCAGAGGTTCAAGGCATATCCAATGCCCGAGTGATGTGTGTTGGGAATACGGGTCATCTTTTCCTTTAGCAGCTATTATAATCAGCTCGTTGTGCAGGTATCTTGTTCCATTCTACCTGCAATCGACGGGAGGACGTCTCCCCCTTCTCTGTTGCTTTGCACATGATACCCCAGGTTTGCAGGAGTTTCGCGCCTTCTTCTGGTGAGGAAATGGTATGTAGCTTGCCCTCTCGGGAGATAATCATTTTCGTCGGGTACCCCCATCGGAACCTCATGCCATTGGCCCTTAAGCTGTCCGCAAGATGGGAGAGATCTTTTCTCTTTTTCAAAGTTGTAGCAGATAGATCCGCAAATATTTTAACTGACGGGTAGTCAGGATGTGGAGCAGATTTATTTCTGCTTGTACGCAGTATTAGCTCCTTTATGTGGTAGTAGTGTACTCGTGTGAGTACGTCTCTTGGCACAGTTTCTGGCAAGTATCTTGGCTTTGGGATTCTGTGAACTCGGTCCAGGAGCAACATCTCCCCCGGTATATCAGGTGCGTAGGCTCTAATAAGGCCTCTTACGTATGCCTGCAGATCTTCCGGCCCGACCGACTCCGGAACTCCTCGCAGCCGCAAGTTGTTCCTCCTGGAGCGGTCTTCAAGGTCCGCTAGCTTCACTTCAGTCATGGTAAGTTTTTGCTCCAAGTGTTCTACGTGGCTTGCAAGGTCGTTATGTGCCACAGCAAAATCGTCCATTTTGGACTCGACGTGCGATGTCCGTTTATTGATCTCTTGTACATCCCTTCGTAGTGAGTCCATAGAATGTTGCCAGGACATGATTAATTTCTGGGATAAGTTGTCAAGCGCTACTTGTAGGTAGCTTTTGGTGAGCTGGTCAGCAGGGTTAACCAGTTCTGTATCTTGTTGCGAGTCTCGCGGGTTCGGGCTGGCGTCGCCATCTTGCGAAGGCCGCATCTGCTCCGTGCTTTCTTGTTGTTGTTTATTATTGAAAAAGTTTAGTTTTTCATTTTTTGCAGAGCTCTTCTTTGCTTTAGTTTGTGCCATCTTATATTTTAGCAGTTTGCAGGTCCTAATCGTCCGGATTGATATAGATTGTCGGCCTCGGTAGCCGGAGCTCGGGTTCAAGCGACCATTAAGCTCGGCGGTTAGCCACGCCCCCCGTGAATTTCAAATTTAAGGTTAAAATACCCGAAATGGAAAACCCCATTAAGTCAGCTATGCTATCAGTATGTCTGCTCTGGCCTTAAATTTGAAATTCTCTGAATTTACTTTGCATTCTCACAAAAGTGCTGATCGTAGAGAGAGAGATATTTTAAGTAGTAGATTAAAAATAGCCCTAAGTGGAATTGAAACGGCATGACTTATATAGACAATACATTGATTGTTTATGGCTTTATGAATGTACAGCACTGCAATGTCTAATAATGACTATAAATAGTTCGCAGTTGGCAAGCAGCTGTGTAGTTTTGGGGTGTTAATGTGTGTGAAAGGCTTTAGTTCACAGCTGCGTGACTTCAGTAATGTAAACTAAATGACCTTTCTCATTATGATAGGAACAGACAGACAAGTGGACGACCTAAGTTGCAACTGTGTGCGCCCCAGCAGCTATTTTTCAGTTTAGTAGAACCAGTATTATTAGACTACAGAGCATTGATGATAGTCTATATTCCTGCATGTCCAGCTGGGAACTCTGGAATAGTTGTGGAAACGTGACTTCTCGAGTTTCCATGCCCAAAAAGGACTTCTCAAAGTTTTTAGTTTTTGTATTTTATATGTAGAAAGGTCATTAGGCCTGAATTTGTGGGCGGAGGATAAGTCCCCTTCTTAAACACCAAGCCCTACTCACCTCTGCCAGTAAAGTTGATTGTTGTATCTCCATAGCAACCAGCACTTCCGGTCCGAGCTTCCCGCCAAACAGCTCCAGTCTCCAGCAGCAGTGGTGTCCAGCTGAATCCTCTGTCCGTTCTGTAGCCCTGCCACCTGGCTTCTCCCCGGTCGCGGTATTTGGCTTCCGGTCACTAGACCAACACGCTCACGTAAGCTTGTGAGGGAAATAGCTTTTGGCTATTTCCCTCCGTTTGGGCCTAAAAACGTAGGGGTAGGCTCCCTTTTTACTTATACATTACCTGTTCGTGCACTTCCGCGTTCGTGCGTCTAAATTAGATGAACGCCGGCTATACTTACGTTTCGTGGGTCCTTCGTATGGTCTAAATTGCCGACCTTTGTTCGGGTAAACTCTGGTGCGATTTCGTTAAAATTCTGGTATACCATTCGTTCATACGAACGAACTATGTACATACCGTATATACTAACCCGTTCGTTCATTTAGCGATTCGTGCAATATTCTGTTCACCCCTTGCATACTTACGATTCTCTACATCCCCCACCTCAACACGGAGGTATGGCTTCACGCCCAAATCACAGTTAGATGCCTTATTCACCCTTCTACAGGGCTGCAGTCAGGGCCTCACTTTTCACGGCCACACGTTTGAATCTCCTTAACAGTCATCGAGAGGCCAACATCCCGCCACCACGTCTGTTGCAACAAACTTCCCTCGGCCAAATCATAGAGCCTCTCACTGCCACTCGGCAGTAGCAGGGCCTCACTTGTCACTAGTTCACAGTTAAGTTTTTCGCTTCGGCACTAGCCTTACAGTCCAGTTCACCTAAGGAACTCTTATATCCCCTTCTGTCCCCTCCTTTGCCCTACTAAATCTAATTCACCAATTCATTTCTAGAATGTCTCAAGAACCAGCCCCCACCGACGATTTGTCTGCTGAAGAGATCCCGTTCACGCCTATCAGACCAGAATCTCCAGGCGAATCTCTCACCCCCTCTACTCCTACGTCCTTGAGAGCATGGACTGTTCCTAAAATTACGGCTGAACTTAGGCTAAGGGCTAGAAAGGCTGAACTCTACAGACTCTTGACCAATCAGGCTCCCGAGCCTAGGCCAGGCACTAGCTCTCAAGGACAACCATCAGGCGCTTGCACGGCCACTCAGGACACCCTTGCAGCAATCCTGGCCAACCTGCAGACCTTGAATAACAGGTTATCTAAGGTGGAGAGTGCCATCACCTCCCCAGGTAACCTCCCTGGCCTCTCAGCCCCCGTCCCGGCAGTCTCTGCTACAACACCACACTCCCCTATACATTCCCCTCCAGCACCAGCCACGGTTACGTCACCTTTTGTGTCACCAGCACACTCTGTCCCAGACTCCATTAGGAAAGAAATCCTAGATGCCCCATAGCCTCACAAGATGTGCTGGAGAACCGGGCATATAATTACGGGGATATCTCAGTGGTGCTTAAAACCAGAGATCCCTGGCTTAACAAAAAACAATCAATACCACAGTTCGTAATAGCCTTCGGGATAAACCGCAACGTCATTAGCTCGGTATATCCCCACAGAAGAGAGGAACTAGACCTCTATCTGCATAAAGTGGTGGATTTGGGCATCAAGTACGGGGGCTCATCTTTTTATGATTATCACAAATCAGTATCAGCGAAGTGTATCAGTATCAGCGAAGGCGGCCACCCATCTGAAACAGTTTAACATTAGAATTAACTGGTATCAGATGAGTACTGAATTATTCTGTCGCCACTTCGCTGGTCTCAGGCCCCGGTCTTGTGCCGTATGTAATTCAACATCACATACGGCCGATTTGTTCCACTCTGAAGCTGCTCCATCCACCTCCACTCCCACTCCTCAAACCACTTTCACCCCTCACACTAAACAAGTGGGTGGTCAACGGTATAAACTGGGTAGATCCATCTCCTTCCTAGACAAAGCGCAGGTGTGCAACAATTTTAATGCTGGGTCCTGCAGCTTCAGCACCTGTAGGTTGTTGCACATCTGCTCTATCTGCTTCAGGGCACACACAAAGACCATGTGCCCGACCAGGTTGTCCCCTAACAAATGACTAACCGACATTAATGTCGACAAACTGTTTTTTTATTTGAGACCTCATCAAGCAGGCATTTGGTGGAGTATTTTCACACAGGGGTTTCTCACGGGTCTCATTGCCATCCCCCCAGACCCGCTTGAATGTCCCAACCTCTTGTCAGCCTGCCAAGACCCATTATCCACAGACACTCTCCTTTCCTCCAAATTCTCACACGGTTTCATGATCGGCCCCTTCACCTCCTCACCTTTTTCATCCTGGCGCACTAATCCCATTGGTATAGCTGTGCACAAATACTCTAATAAAAAACGTCTAATTATCGTTTTATCAGCACCGCACGCCTCTTTTGTTCCCAGCATTAACTCACTCATACCAGCAGAAGAATTTTCATATACAATCCATCATTTCAACTGGTAGAAAAGCTTGGCTAAGCAAAATGGACATTACAAACGCATTAAAATTACTACCCATGCACCCATCACTCTGGCATCTGCACTGTGTTAAATGGTGAGACAGATACTATTTCTCCACACGCCTCACTTTCGGGTCTAGAAGCAGCCCCAAACTGTTTGATATATTCGCAGAAACACTATGCTGGCTGCTTCTAAAGTTCTCAGGTGTCACTCAGTCATTCACTATTTGGACGACTTCCGACTGATTTTGGCTGAGTGGAATGGTATCTCCATGTTTATCCCCCCTCTCTCCGACTCCTCCTCACCCATCATTCACACAGACGCTGCAGCCAACACCGGTTTCACATCTATCTTCGGTAGTCACTGTTTCAGGGGTCACTGGCCTACTGAGACTGATGCCTTGCCAGGATTCAGGGAGACTTCAGCCCTATTTAAAATTTATCCCATAGTGGCGGCCGCACACACTTGGGGTCATCTTTGGTCCGGCAAGGCAGTAAAATGCTATTCCGACAACTCGGCAGCTTGCGATATCATAAACAAGGGGCGCTCATCATCCCTCACCATCATGCGGCTGATTCGCAAGCTGACCTGGCTGGCAGCAACCGTCCAGTTCCACTTAGTCTGTTTTCACATCCCGGGTATCCACAACACGGCCGCTGACGCTCTCTCGTTCTCAATTCCAGGTATTCTTCCAGGCACTTCCTACGGCCCACCACCAGCCATCCAAGACACCGCGGTTTCACGAACTAATCCTGGATTAAACATACTAATGCACCACGCTAGGTCTCTCACACACCAAGCACTATCACCTAACACAGCTGTCACCTACAGTAGGGCACTTACCATTTTTAATAAATTCACAGCAGATTTCGGATTACAAGGTGATTTTTCTACTCAAACCATGGTGGCTTTTGCCTCCTTCTGCCACTTACATTTAAAACTTTCTCACAATACCATTAAACTATACCTCACGGGGGTTCAGCATCACAGTCTCACTAATTTCCCTAACAACACCCCCTTCTTGTCATCATACCCCATCAAGAAAGTCTTAAAGGGTATCTCAAAGGTTTCTGTTCCACTTACCACCACCAGATTACCAATAGATGGGCCTATCTTTAGATTACTCAGCAATCTACTTGATGAATCCCCATTCGATCACGACTCAAACCTAGTGATCAAGTCTGCCATTTATCTAGCTTTTTATGGTTTCCTTAGACCCGGAGAATTCACCGTTGTTTGTCAAGGGGATATCTCACACAGCCTTAAAACCTCACACCTCACTAAGGTGGAAGATCACTATGTACTCACGCTCCCATCTACCAAAACTAATCACTCCCTACACCCCACTATTATTCCCCTCTTTCCCACTGATAATGCTTGGTGTCCGGTTAAGGCACTAGACCATCTACGGTCAACTCATCACACGCACTTACCAGACTCTCCGCTTTTATTACTACAAGGGCACCCACTCACCACTGCTAAATTCACAACGCACGTCAGAACCTTACTGGCAAAACTGGGTTACAACCTGGCTTTGTTCTCCGGCATAGGAGCCGCTTCATCAGCCTCTAGTACAAACACCCCGGTTCACATCATCATTTGATTGGGTCGATGGAAATCCTCCATATACCATACGTACATACCACAACCAGAAAGAGAGCTTTGCCAAGTCTTCAGGAATTTGGTTATGTATTAAATTCAATAAAGTGTGTTTTTCTTGAACTTCTCTTTGCCCTCTTTTATTTACAGGCCCACTTGTATGTTGGTTTCCGGCACACCACAAATCAACTTTCATCTCAGACACTATCCATTACGTATTAAATTCCGAGCCCAAATACAATATATGTTCATATTTACATATAATAGAAAGCAACAGGCCAGACTCTCCTGGATGGATTTCTTAGTGGGTTTCCTGGTGTTGCTACAGGAGCAACAATCATAACAGCATAAACTGCTTTGACATACTCACTAATCACAACCTCCAGACAGAATGGTCTGTGTCTCCCCAAATGATGCCCTCTGCATTAGATAGAGAGGTCATTTTAAAAATATGTAAATTTTTTAGAATGTTGCAAGGCTGAAGGTTTTGGTTATGGATTTAAAGATGTAAGCTAAATTAGAACTTTCTTCACCTCCTCCTGTAGGCTGTAAGGCCAAGGAACTGATAGACGCTGCACGGGTGAATGTGGCAAGGATGGTGGGTGGAAAACCGGAGGACATTGTCTTCACCTCAGGTGGCACAGAGGTGAGATCTTTACCAATGTATCAGCTTTGTCCTCGATGTAGAACACAGGTCCTCACACTGTCCTAATGCATTCTCATAGCTTCCGGATTAACACATTTCCATATTTCCAATTACAGTTTTAGCTTAAACTTGGGTCTGTCTCACCTGTTGAATAGAATCTGGAAAATTATTACCTGCAAAGTGTCAACATATTTCACAGCTCTGTACAATGGAACATAGTTTATTCAACACTAGTGCCTGAGTTCATTAATGTTTTGAAGGGTAGTCCCAGGCAATTGATTTTTTTTTTTTATTTTTTTTTTTTTTTCATCTTCTAGGCCAACAACATGGTGCTATTTTCTGCAGTGGACCATTTTATGAAGGAGTCTAAAGAGAGACACAATAATGTGCTGGAGAATGAATTGCCACACATTATCACCTCAAACGTGGAACATGACTCTATAGCTCTTCCACTTTTGCACTTACAAAAGATACAGAAAGCTGGTAAGGTCATCGCACAATACATAGTAAAGAAAAATCCCCTGCTTGGAAAATCACTGCAACCACAATAATTTATAAAATGTAATGGACTGTGTTTAGAAATATGAAACAACAACAGAACCATTTAATTAGTTTTTTCTGCATTTTGCGGTTTTTGGCTTTTTTTTTTATGGTTATTTATGTTGGGGTTTTTTTTTTTTAAAGAGAAAAAAAGATATTAGAAATTCTAAGATGTAATCAGTTGGATCAGAATATAAAATCTTCATCATGTTATCTATGTCTCTGTCTTCTATTTTTATTAGTTTCCATTTCTTAGTCTTTTCCCAAGTTTCTCTGTCTTCAGGACTATATCCATTTTAGCTATGTCTCTCAACATTTAGTCTCTTTGTATGTGTGCAAGGAGAAAGCTTCCAGCCTGACTTGATAGAACCACCATGGTTAAATGAGGCAATTAAACAAAATAAAAATAATACGGGCATCTTAAAGCCAATCATGTGATATTCTAAATGGTTCTATGTACTTGGCGTTTAAATCTATACTAGTCAGACCAGAGTCTGAGAGAGTAACTAAACTTACACCCCCAGCCCCTCCATGTGCCTATGTCTCATTCTCCCCAGCATCTCCTCCATTTGTCTCGCCCCACCATCCCCCCCAGATGTCTCATCCTCTGCCCCTCCAGTCGTCTCACTCTCCCTCTGCCCCTCCAGGCGTCTCACTCTCCCTCTGCCCCTCCTGGCGTCTCACTCTCCCTCTGCCCATCCAGACGTCTCACTCTCCCCCCGCCCCTCCAGACGTCTCACTCTCCCCGGCCCTCAGGCGTCTCACTCTCCCAGCCCCTCCAGGCGTCTCACTCTCCCCCCACCTCCAGGCGTCTCACTCTCCCCGGCCCCTCAGGCGTCTCACTCCCCAGCCCTCCAGAAGGCGTTTCACTCTTTGCCCCTCCACAGGCGGCGTTTCCTTTCCCTCTGCCGCCAGTGTGGTTTCACTTTCCCTCTGCCCCGCCAGGCAGGCGTTTCACTTTCCCTCTGCCCCGCCAGGCAGGCGTTTCACTTTCCCTCTGCCCCTCCAGGCAGGCGTTTCGCTTTCCCTCTGCCCCGCCAGGCAGGCGTTTCACTTTCCCTCTGCCCCGCCAGGCGTTTCACTCTTCCTTCAGACGTTTCACTCTCCCTCTGCCCTGCCAGGCGTTTCACTCTTCCTTCAGACGTTTCACTTTCCCTCTGCCCCTCCAGGCGTTTCACTTTCCCTCTGCCCCTCCAGGCGTTTCACTTTCCCTCTGCCCCGCCAGGCAGGCGTTTAACTTTCCCTCTGCCCTGCCAGGCGTTTCACTTTCCCTCTGCCCCGCCAGGCGTTTCATACTTTCCCTCTAAGGCTCCCGCTGTGGCGCCTTCACTTTCCTCTCTGCCCCTGCCAGGCGCTTTCACTTTCCTGCTTCCTGCTATAGGCGCTTTCACTTTCCTCTGCTCCTGCTTGTATGCTTCTACTTTTCCTCTGCCTCGCTAGGGCGCTTCTATAATTTTCCTTCAGACGCTTCACTTTCCTCTGCCTCCAGGCGCTTTACTCTACCTCTGCTCCCTCCAGGGCGCTTTCACTCTCTCTCTGCAGCCTCCAGGCGCTTTCACTTCCTCTGTGCCTGTATGCTTTCACTTTCCTCTGCCTCCAGGCAGGCTTTTACTCTCTGCTCACAGGTATGCTTACTTTCCTCTGCTCCCGCCAGGCCAGGCAGGCGTTTCACTTTCCCTCTGCCCCGCCAGGCAGGCGTTTCACTTTCCCTCTGCCCCGCCAGGCGTTTCACTTTCCCTCTGCCCTGCCAGGCGTTTCACTTTCCCTCTGTCCCGCCAGGCGTTTCACTTTCCCTCTGCCCTGCCAGGCGTTTCACTCTTCCTTCAGACGTTTCACTCTCGCTCTGCCCTGCCAGGCGTTTCACTCTTCCTTCAGACGTTTCACTCTCCCTCTGCCCTGCCAGGCGTTTCACTCTTCCTTCAGACGTTTCACTCTCCCTCTGCTCCTCCAGGCGTTTCACTCTCCCCCTGCCCCTCCATGAAGCTCATTCTTCCCCTGCTCCTCCATGCATCTGATTCACCCCCTTGCTCCTCCATACGTCTAATCCTCGCCAGTCGCTTCCATGTGGCTCAATAGCACCCAGTCCCTTCCATGCATCTCAATTCACCGCCCTTGATCCTCCATGCATCTCATCCTCGCCAGTTCCTTCCATGTGCCTTAATAGCCCCAAGTCCCTTCCATGTGTCTCAATACCCCCCTCCTCCCCCATTCCTTCCATGTGTCTTTCCCTCATTTCCCTCTGTACCTGCTCTCCATTTGTGGCCGAGTGGACCACCGCACCCAATCTAAAAGGAAATTCTCTCAGTAAGCACTTCCTGTCAGACCAGCCAGATAGAGGGAAACAGAGGCTCCTCTATGCGCGGTCCACTTGGCCATGCTACTTACAGAGCCTGACTGGAAGGGGCCTTGGGCCGATGCTGCAGTGCACTGATCCTGAATATATGCCGGCCCACGGTGGCTGGGCCCCCTAGAGCGACAAGCCTGGCTGCGAACCCTGCAACCTCTATTGTTACGTCACAGAGTCTGAGCCCATCTTACACTTTTAAAATAAGTAGGAATGTAGACAGTTCTATTCATCCAATATTATCATCAGAGCTCACTGATTTCCATGTGGCTGAACGGAGACGCATCCTGACAGTGATGTTTCATCAATCTATTTGTGAGGCTGCTATAGTAAAAAGATGGAATCGGCTCCATATTAATACTCGTTCTTTTAATGTGATGCATAACAAACGAACTTCCACATACTTAAGGCCATATAGTGTATTCAATATCTTCAAATATTCTTTATAGCATAATGTTGTTTTTGAGTCTGACCTTCCAAAATAGTTCTGGTTGTGTATGGCCATCATTATAGAGAAATAGTATAATAATGACTGGTCGTTATTATTCTAGGACAAGGGTAGGTAACCTTTGGAACATCAGATGCTGTGGGCTGCATCTCCCCAGATGCTTTATCAGCATAATGGCTGTAAGAGCGTTATAGGGGATGTAGTCCACATCAGCTGGATTGCCAAACAGATAACTGTTAGATGATTGAAGAATAGATTCACTCCTGAAACTAAAATAAACTACCCAGTGCTAATACATTTAGGCAAGAATTCTAAGTCTTCAGACTCTGTGACTGGCGTTTGAGCTGCAGCCCAAGCTGCTGTTGGTTTCACTTAAATACTGGAACCGGTAATGTAAACTTAGGCATTTACATAAAGATTTCTGATCAATAGCTCTACGTATATTTTTCAGGCATATCCGTTTTTGTTGTTTGGTTTTCTTTTTTTGTTTTGTTTAAGGCTAAACATTACACATGACTTGTTTACTCACACTTCTTTTTTTATTTATTTTTTATCTTCGCGTCGTGTTTATTTGACAGTAAAGTTAATATTAATGTATCTCTTTTGTTTTTCTGATTCAGAAGTCACCTTTGTGCCAGTATCCACACTAACAGGACGTGTTGAGGTTGATGATGTCATCGCAGCTGTACGCCCGAACACGTGTTTAGTGTCCATTATGCTAGCAAATAATGAAACTGGAGTAATCATGGTGAGCAACTGCTTGTTTTAATTGTCAAACCATGTCTTATTGAACAACACCTTGTATAAACGTATATTCTCTACTGATTTTTAGCATTCACTTCCTTGTAGATGAGTTATTTCTAATATTCCCCCCCACCCCCATCCCATTGGTAATTAAAAAAAACAGCTGGAGGCAAAAATATGGATAACCATGATCTAGATTTAGTATATCTTGTTTACAAACACTAGCATGGCCATGAATACACATAGCTAACGTGTACCCTTTTTAAAATTGTAAAGTGCTCACTTGTGCCTTTAATGAGGATTTTTTTTACAATTTATCAGAATAGAAACATAGAATGTGACGGCAGATAAGAACCATTCGGCCCATCTAGTCTGCCCAATTTTCTAAATACTTTCATTAGTCCTAGCCTTATCTTATAGTTAGGATAGCCTTATGCCTATCCCACGCATGCTTAAACTCCTTTACTGTGTTAACCTCCACCACTTCAGCTGGAAGGCTATTCCATGCATCCACTACCCTCTCAGTAAAGTAATACTTCCTGATATTATTTTTAAACCTTTGTCCCTCTAATTTAAGACTATGTCCTCTTGTTGTGGTAGTTTTTCTTCTTTTAAATATAGTCTCCTCCTTTACTGTGTTGATTCCCTTTATGTATTTAAATGTTTCTATCATATCCCCCCTGTCTCGTCTTTCCTCCAAGCTATACATGTTAAGATCCTTTAACCTTTCCTGGTAAGTTTTATCCCGCAATCCATGAACCAGTTTAGTAGCCCTTCTCTGAACCCTCTCTAAGGTATCAATATCCTTCTGAAGATACGGTCTCCAGTACTGTGTACAATACTCCAAGTGAGGTCTCACCAGTGTTCTGTACAATGGCATGAGCACTTCCCTCTTTCTACTGCTAATACCTCTCCCTATACAACCAAGCATTCTGCTAGCATTTCCTGCTGCTCTATTACATTGTCTGCCTACCTTTAAGTCATCAGAAATAATCACCCCTAAATCCCTTTCCTCATATGTTGAGGTTAGGACTCTATCAAATATTCTGTACTCTGCCCTTGGGTTTTTACGTCCAAGATGCATTATCTTGCACTTATCCACATTAAATGTCAGCTGCCACAATTCTGACCATTTTTCTAGTTTACCTAAATCATTTGTCATTTAGCTTATCCCTCCTGGAACATCAACCCTGTTACATATCTTAGTATCATCAGCAAAAAGACATACCTTACCATCAAGAACTTCTGCAATATCACTAATAAAAAGAATGATTCCATTAACAAGAGCAGTCCAATAAGTACATACCAGGCAGTGGCGGATCCAGAGCCTGATCTCGGGAGGGGCACTTGTACATTATTTAAATAAATAATCCAGGCACAATAACCACTACAGCTCAGTGTAGTAGTTATGGCGCCAGTAGTGCCAGGATCCCATCCCAGAGTAAGTAGTCAAACCGTTTAAGAACAGTTTGACAACTTACCTGGGGTCTGCTGGGTTATAGGGCATAGGAGCAGTGGTTGCAGTGTGTGTGTGTGTGTGTTAGGGGGCAGTGTGTGAGCGGTGCAGTGTGTATGTGAGGGTGGCAGTGTGTGAGAGTTGCAGTGTTTGTGGGCCAGTGTGTGTATGGGGGCAGTGTGTGTAGTGTGTGTATGGGGGGTAGTGTTTGTGGGGCAGTGTGTGTATGGGTTTGCAGTGTGTGTTTGCGGGGCAGTGTGTGTATGGGTGTGCAGTATTTGTGGGGCAGTGTGTGTATGGGGGGCAGTGTGTGTAGTGTGTGTATGGGGGCAGTTGTTTGTGGGGCAATGTGTGTAGTATGTGTATGGGGGCAGTGTTTGTGGGGCAGTGTGTGTAGTGTGTGTATGGGGGCAGTGTTTGTGGGGCAGTGTGTGTAGTGTGTGTATGGGGGCAGTGTTTGTGGGGTAGTGTGTGTATGGGGGCAGTGTTTGTGGGGCAGTGTGTGTAGTGTGTGTATGGGGGCAGTGTTTGTGGTGCAGTGTGTGTAGTGTGTGTATGGGGCAGTGTTTGTGGGCAGTGTGTAGTGTGTGTATGGGGCAAGGTTTGTGGGGCAGTGTGTGTAGTGTGTGTATGGGGGCAGTGTTTGTGGGGTAGTGTGTGTATGGGGGCAGTGTTTTTGGGACAGTGTTTGTAGTGTGTGTATGAGGGCAGTGTTTTTGGGGCAGTGTGTGTATGGGTGTGCAGTGTGTGTATTGTGTATATAGGGGCAGTGTTTGTGGGGTAGTGTGTGTATGGGGACAGTGTGTGTATGGGGGGCAGTGTTTGTGGGGCAGTGTGTATAGTGTGTGTATGGGGGGCAGTGTTTGTGGGGCAGTGTGTGTAGTGTGTGTATGGGGCAGTGTGTATGGGGGCAGTGTGTTTATGGGGGGCAGTGTTTGTGGGGCAGTGTATGTATGGGGGCAGTGTTTGTGGGGCAGTGTGTGTGTGTATGGGGGCAGTGTTTGTGGGGCAGTGTGTTTATGGGGGCAGTATTTGTATGGTGGGGAAGGAGGGTAGGGAGGCTTTTTTTTTTTATTGAATTAAAATAAATATATACTTTATGTCCCCCTCCCTTC